ATGTGCCACATGATTTACAATGTGTGTGGCAGGATTATTAGTTAGACATGGTTCAAAGGTGAATAAAACAAAAACACTTATTAAATATAAACTGATGTATATTATTATGAGATTTAGGCTATTTAGAATAAACAGTTGTGGTTTCCTGTTACAATTTGTTGTGATTCCAGAAAGAAAAACAAAGGGTAATTTAGATTTATTTCCTAATATTTAATAGTGGTCATGAGGTCATTCAAATCGACCAACCCCATATTCAGTTAAGGGAGAAAATAACAGATAAAATATAAAGTTCCTCAAAAAATAAAATAAAAAACGTTTGATATTTATTTAGAAGGTTATAGAGACTACACAAATGAAATTTGACAATTTTCAGATGAAGAAAACTATTTTTAATCTTAAAAATTCACAAGCAAATCTTTAATTAAAAAATCTTAATACTTAATTAAAAAAAGATATTTTGTGTACAAAAGCCTTGTAATGTTTACTGATGTTCTGTGAAATTTTGTGGATATGAGTATGTTATCAAAGGTTATTGGTTACCTCTCATGGTTACTTTAGAGGTTACATAATATGTGCAATGCACCTAGTTCCATATAAAAAAAAAAAGTGTTAAATAATGCACCTAAGAACACAGAATAACAACACATGTAGAGTGAACATGTCCTAAAACATTTAGATGTCCTAAAACTATCAAAATTTAATTGGCTTTCTAACTATATCACAAGTCTTAAAATAATTCCCTAAGCTTGTTGATCTGGATGCCATGAGAGAAACTTTTAAACTAAAGACAAAATAAAGAATATTCTGTATGGAAAACAATGTAGCAGTATATGTCATTTGATAGGTTAAAACTATGCCTTTCTATTGGTTATAAAGAATATAGTACAAAACATAGAAAACTATTGGCAATTTGTGAAAGAGAGGATGTGACAAGTGGGTCTGATTTTCTAGCTTATGACTCCATAAAAAAATAAGATCTAAGGCTATAAAAATTAGAATTTGCTTTAGTAATATCTATATCACAATGAGTAATTTACATTAAAATTCATACTTCAGAGATGGGTGGTAAATAAATTAGAAAAGTGAGAACACCTAGAGAACAAATATCATGATTCTCATATGAGGGGAGATTGAGGATTCTTTAAAAATATTTCCATATAAAACTCACTACTTAAAACGTATATAATGTCGTGCTTTAGTAACCTTATACTATACTAGTTGTCCAAAAGATATTTTATGTCACTTTTAAATATGCTTTTTAAACACACAGAAATATATCATGCTGAAGAACAGAATGTCCAAAATTACTATAACTTATCTGGCTTTCTACCTAAGCTATAAATAGATTAAAATAATTTTGTTAATCCTAGGAGCAATGACATTACACATGTCAAGCTTTTCTTTTGAACTATCATATTTAATCACCTAACATAAACAAACTGTTTTAAGATTCCTATACATTATAGTATGTTCTTTCTATTGGTTATAAACAGGTCCATCAAGCAAGAAATGTATTAAAAGATAAGAGAGGCCTCTCTAGTGGATTTTGCAAATAATTTTAATATCTCAGCAAATCATGAAGAAAGACAGTTCAAATTTTATATTTTTGCTTGTTATTATGTGTAGTTTGTATTCCTAATTGGTGTAAACATCAGCAGCTTACATATGATATTAGAAAATTCTGGAAAAAAAAGAGAATCAAAGAATGAAAGACTGACATATTGCATAACATACGAGAGTTAAGACTGATAATTTTTTTTATATTTCCTTTGAAATTTGTTTAGAGAGTGCCATTCAACATATTATTATGTATTTGATGTCAGAATTATAAACTATTAGTTTTATTGTACATTGCTGATTTTGCGATAGTTTGTGATAGAGGAAAGAAAACACCAGGTAAAATGCACAAGTATACTAATAAAAACTATATATCTGTATTTTGGAGGCTCTGTACAATGGACCAAAGTTTTGTGGCATGTACACTTTGACCCCCCCCCCCCTCATACATTCACAAAGGGTTAAGCAGATCATTTAATCTTTAGCAAATGACTAACAGGATACATCTTAAAACAAGGAGATACATTACACATTGGTCATTTTTATACATAATACATAAAGCAACATTTCAATTCTAAATGATTGCTGATGATATTTAGCTCTTTTGAAATAAGAGTAATTTAAGATATTTCAAAGATAAAACTGCTACTGTGAAATTCTACCTTCTGTTGTTAGTATTTGCCTAACCATTTATATTCTAGATTTTTTACAAGCTCCTAAAAAGAAACCATTAGTGAAGTATGTATTTTAAATGAAATGACAACAGTTATATTATATTTACCCTGCATCTGATTCACATAAATGTGTATGAAAATTTTAAACAGTACTCACACTCTGGCTTCTGAAAAAAGTAAAACATTTTTTGAAAAAAAATAGGTTCCACATATTTTAAAAAATCTGATTTATATATTTTTAAATTTTGAAAATCACACGAAACATGTCAGCTTTCAGTCTATAAAAACATTACACTAACATAACTTCATTGTTTACATCATGGCCTCCAACCTTCTCTTGCACTCATTCCATTCTCCACTTTAATTAACAATTTCATATTTATCATTTATTTAAAAGGTTTTCACTTTTTAGCCAGATTTAGTGCATAAAGTGACAATATTTTAAATCTTATCAAATCACAGAAATGCACGTGGTAATGAATTTGTCTTTATGTTGTCAATTTAAATAACTGGAAGTCTGCTGGAGTCGAGTATTCTGGTTACACACAAAGATCTTCAGTGATGAGATGTTTATCTTACAAAATTATGCTGAGAATTAGAAAGTATCCACAAAAAACTGTTAAAATTAGATTTTACAAAAATGAAGATAAAAAAGGTCTACAAGTTTTATATCCAGTTTTATCTGGAAATAATTTTAATTAACTGTGAAAAAATCACCTGCAATGCTGTTTATTTAATTCCTTTTCTTTTCAAATGAAACATTGAGCTGTCAAATTCAACTACTATTTGAGCTATAGGCCACACAAATATAAAAATGTCATTTTTTAACACAAGTATATTCTACCTAGTATTTAGGCTGAAACTATCAATTATTACATATCTATTTGCAGCTTGTTTATTAATTAAATTTCTGATTATAAAATAAATATAAATCCTGTATTCCTGTGATAAAACTTACATGAATAAAACTAAGTTGTTTTAAAAAAACACTATATATTGTATATTTAACTATATCATTCATAAAATTCTGAAGATACAGACAATGAATACATTATTTAAATTAAGATAATTCTGGAACTTCACCACACTGTTTAGTCCATGTTGCCATGTCTAGTCTTGCTCCAACTGACAACTGTGCATCTTGACAATAGCCTTGCAGTGTAATTTCTGTTGCAAAAGTCTGTCATGTCCAAAGCAGTTTCTCATTTCAACAGTCCAGATTGCATAAAAACCCATAGGTGAGGCATCTGGCAACTTGAAAAGTATTTTTTTGTATGGAATACCATGAATACCTATTTCATTCTTTATCTGCTTGAGGAGTGTGATGGTCAAATGGGAGAAATGACTTAAAGCCTTATTTTGGTGAACCCATACCCTTTTGTTGGTCTCATTTCCAGATGAAGATCTTTCTGAGTTATGTTGCATACTTTAGACTGTGAAATGTAGATGGCTTTTGGCATTGATCTTTTTTTCATGGATTCTCATCTGTTACAAGATGCTACACACTTATTACAAGGCTTAGGTACAATGTGTTGTAGATCTCTTTCTGGTTAGTCCAGGTTTCTCAAGTTAATACACATTCCTTTGTTTTATAATGCTATTAAGTATATTGGATATCTCCATTTTAGAAATTCTACATCCACAATCTTTATGATATAATGCATGAAAATGTCAAAATGTAGTTCTGGTGCATGCCATTCCACTATGACTTTAAATCGGTTGTGGTTATCATACGACTTAGAAATTTGCACATTAAAATTGTTTGAATATATCATACTCAATCACTTGTACCACCTATAATGATTAATACAAGTTATTTTGGAAAATATAAGTTAATATATGTGCATTCATGAAAATATAGGTAGTATATATAGATTGGAGCATAAATGACTGTAAAGAAACTCACCCATCACCAGCTGAAATGTTAACACGTTCTGATTTTGCACCTTCTGTTACAGAGTCTAGACCAAGTTCTGCAAGTGAGCGTAAAGCACTAAGAGCAGCCTGATCATGAGAGGCATCAATGGTTGGACCAGCACCATGACTGACATGAGGAGGATTTGTTGATAAAGATACCAGTGATAAATATTCAAGCTTATTACTCTGAAAATAAATTCAACACATATATCTTCAAACTAAAAATAATAAAAAGATTTTCTCCAAAATGTTTTTTTGTTCTAAAGTTACATTATAATACACAATCTATAAACAGGTACTGTGTCACATTCTAAAGAAGTTACTAATATTAATTTCTGATCAAAGCAAGCTACTTACAAAAATCAGAACTAAACATGTATACTGAGTAATAAGCAAAGCTAAATTAAATAGAACTTTCAAACTGTATTACTTTTAATGATCAGAATGCACTGTTTCATCATTTGGGCACCTTTGCTGTTAATATTTTTAGCTGTAAACCTAATTAACATATCATTGTTAACCACAAATTATTTCTAAACACATTAAACTTCTTAGGAATTTCATAAAACAAACAGATATTTTCAATTTTTTACTCCTAATAACTTATGAATTTATTTTCAGATACACTTCACATCCCCCCCCTTTTAAATGCTGTATGTTACAGCACCCAAATTACATTGAAAAAAATTATATCTGTTAAAACACACATTACAACACTTAAATAATTTGCCAACAAGTTTTAGATATTCCTTTCTGTGTTTCAAATTATACTAACATTGTTTTACACAATTAAATTTTGAACAACATTGTTTATTAATATGCTAACATAATATGATGGAAGACTTAAAATTTATTTGATCCTTGTCTTGAAATCAACTTTCCTTATATTGAAATTTTTTCAATGTTTTATTTCTATGAAGAATCATATTTTACAACTTCCTACAAGTTCACAAAATTAATTTTGATTATTAATAAATTTTCTGCTTTTGAATGAAATGTTCAATTTTTGTTTTTTAGTTACCCCCTGTGATTAAAAAAAAACACCAAAAAACCTTCATCAACTAACAGTAGAATTTGACATACAGCATTTGTTCAACATTATTCATGCCATTTCAAAAGTGAATGTTATGCTTTGCCTGAGTGTGCAGCTTTTCAATTAGGAGACAGATGAACACTTACACAGACACCACAGTTTGCAATATATATATATATATAAGAGGTAATGCTTTTATTTTAGTTGTATTTACTGTTTCAATATGTATTATGCAAAATAATACAAAAAAGTCAAATTTCTAGGATCTGTTTCTTGTTTTTGTATAACATTAATTTTTTAAAACATTTTCCTTTCATATAGTAAAAAAAATCATAGTAAGAATAAAATAATACCCATATATTTTCCTTAAAACAATCAATGTTCGATTTATTAATTTACTATAAACTGATTTTTTACCTTTGGAAAATCTCGAAAATGGACGTGAAAACCAAGAACGTCTGCCAAATACATGAGCTGCTGTTTTGGTCTTACTGTCATCTGAGTTTGTGCACAAACTACAGGTTTATGTCCAGACTTGGAAAGAGCTTCAGCAGTTGGTGAAGCTCCTAAATAAACAAATCTCTTTATACATTGAAAATAGGTAAAAACAAATTCCAAGAATGAATTATTTTGATATCACATCAACAAACTGGTGCTCTCATAAAAAATACATTACTGGTGAACAGTAAACATGAAAACAGATTTTCTAATAACATTATTTACAATATTCTTAAAATGTGAATAACTTATTAATTGTTTAAACAACTCTCTTCAATTATGTACCAGCTGCCTA